CTCCTCAACTGCGGCACCGAGCTCTGTGAATCTCTGGGCGGCCGTCCTGACACAGTCCCTGAGTGCGGGATCGACTGCTGCGTGCTCAAATCCTTCTTTCAACAAGGCAATCCTGAAGCCGTCGAGCCTCGTTGGCTCTGCGTGAAGTCTCTGAGCAAAAGTTGTTGATCCGGGCTTGGGACTGCCGAGCGATCTGTCGTCTATTCCGTCGTAGCCACTGATAGCATCCAGACACAGGGCAATATCTTGCACATTTCGAGCCAGTGGTCCGGCATGGTCATTCACCGCATCGCCGCTTGAAATGCCGGTAAACGGAACCAGGCCATGTGTAGGCTTCAGACCAACGCCTGCGGGAGAATATCAGTGAGGCATTCAACTTGTCTTATTTGGGGCGATCATACAGCCACATAGTGACGCAGGCACTCGAATACTCCCCCCTTGATCACCACCTATTGTAATATCCACCAAGCCACCGGCCACCAGAGCAGCTCCGCCAGATGTGCTACCGCCGGCAGAATAACCAGCCGCAAAAGGATTCTCGACGATACCCTGAGCACTAGTATAGGAGCCGGTAGAATGGCAAAAGTTTTCGCACGTCGAGGTACCCAAAATATCAGCGCCGGCATCCAGGAGTCGCGTAACAACTGTCGCATCGGTGATCGGTGTCCAAGACGGAATCACATCGCTGCCCAGTAGCTGAGGGACCCCAGCGACTGCAATACAGTCTTTCAAACTGACCGTCTTCCCAGCCAGCGGACCTCCATCGGCGTTACCCTTGATCAAGAATTTATGCGCCCACGCCTGACCAAAAGCCTGCTCTTCCGGCGACGGTCGTCGGATGTTTTGTCGTGGATAACGTGATAGATCCGGCACAGGCTGGTAATCTGGGAGCTTCGCGACGTCCTCTGCACAGTCATGGACGGCTGCTAGGAGAGTATGAAAATCATCTGCTTCATCGGGGTTGACTGAGAGGCCAACATTATTCAGAAGGACTTGCGCGTCTTCCTTCTTCACAGGGTTGTCTCTGTATGAGCATCGTGAGTTCTGGCCTTACGATGATCCATCACGCTGAGATCGAACTTACGGGGAAATCGAGGTAAACAGGACCGACATGATGACCCTCGGATATACACAACTTGGACGCGTGGAAGGGGTCTGTGATGTCTTGGGAAGATTGATGAAAAGAATTTGTTACACAAATTCATTCTCGAGCTTTGCACTCAACAGCTATCATCGTGGACGTATGAGAAGTACTCCAACTTGAAGACTCCAACTGCTACAGACAGCTCCCTTATCATGCATGTTGGAGAGAAAAGATTTGGAGTCTTCTTGTCAAACCCCACTTCTAGGCTGGAATTATCAATGATTAACAGCCGAATGAACATTACCATATCAGAGTAGTCATTGTAAGCTCCACTGCTATCAAATCCATTATCCTGGGGGGTGAGGGGAACATTCCCATCTCCGCACAAGAGAAGTGCATGGCCTGATAAGCGTCAAGTCCTGCCCTTTTCAGCTACAGACTCAACCGAGCGATCCAAGACTGGCTTCTTTAGACCGTTGCGCCAATTGGAAAGAAAATTTTCTCTAATTGCAACAATTTCTTAAGGTATTTCTTGGGGAACCCGACCTTGTGGCTCTTCGCCATCGATTTAGCATTCGTTATACTCTCTCATTTGCGCCTCCAATAACAAAACCTTCTAACGTCGATACAAGCTCAAAATTGCAGAAATGGGCAAGAAGCGTGTTCTCGTCACTTACGGCGTCGATGTCGATGCAGTTGCCGGCTGGCTCGGTTCTTACGGGGGGAAGACTCAACGAATGACATCAGCAGAGGTGATTCATGCGGTCAACGCGGATTTACGGGTTCCTCATGCGCTGACTTGGCCATGAACAGGTGTTTGGGCTGGCACTGTCGGCACGAGACGTCTTCTGAAATTCTTCGACAAGTACGGCATCAAAGCGACATGGTTCATCCCGGGCCACTCGTTAGAATCATTCCCCGAAGACATGGCTGCCGTGCGCGACGCCGGCCATGAGATCGGTCTCCACGGATATTCGCATGAGAACCCGAAGGACATGACGATCGAACAGCAGCGGGATGTCCTCCATAAAACCTACCGGATGTTGACGGAGTTCTGCGGAAAACCGCCGCGCGGAAGCGTTGCCCCGTGGTAGGTTGCTCTCTTGTACGTTGCAAATATCTTTCTGCTAATAGAGTGGCCTAGGTGGGAAACGAGCAAAGAAGGGGCACAATTGCTCCTAGACTACGGAATCGAGTACGACCACAGCATGAGCCACGAAGATTGTCAAGCGTACTACTTGCGGACAGGAGATTCCTGGACGAAGATCGACTACAGCAAGAAAGCAGAAGAGTGGATGAAGCCTCTGGTCCCTGGTCAGGAGACGGGGCTTGTGGAGATCCCCGCAAACTGGTACATCGACGATCTGCCTCCGATGATGTTCATCAAAGCAGCCTCCAACAGTCATGGATTCGTCAATCCCCGTGATGTGGAAGACATCTGGCGCGATCACTTTGACTACTTTTACAGGGAGTATGACACTTTCATTTTTCCAATCACGATCCATCCGGACGTTTCTGGGCGGCCACCGGTGCTTCTCATGCATGAGAGACTCATTGAGCATTTTAAAAAGCATGATGGAGTGGAATTTGTGACTATGGAGCAGGTCTGCGATATCTTCAAGAAGGAAAACCCAGCACCAGCAGGCGCTCTCATGCCAGCCGAGCCGGGGGCCATCCTCAAGCAATAAACGTATAGTCTGCTTACCTTAGTTATTGGGCGATTCTCCAAAATGAAGTATCTCATTCTCGGGGATTAACTACAAGCGTGGTTTAGTACTACGTAGCCCTGGATGGATTGACTCCAACACTCTCCAATACTCCAACTGCCAAAATAAAGCTGCAGATACTGAAAATACCCCAGATTTCAATATTAGTGACTAGCAGTTATGACTTGTATGTAATCCTCAAAATGATAGTCAATCTTCCTTACCCCATCTCTTTTCGGGCTGACCGTTACTCCAACTCTGGGGTTTAGCCTCTTCCATCTTCTTATCTTTTCTCCATGCGGAAATGTGGATCAGCACGCTGAGACCGTCTAGTTTTATCACTGCCCTATGGGATATCATGATTGTAGGCTTGAGATGGAAACCTTATCGCGTGTGCTTGTCCCCGTTTGGTCATCCAAGTGGGCAGTATTGGCAGTGATGAGGTATATAAAAATCCAACCTCCACGACACATATGGTGAAGCTCGACTCAGACCATCATTCTAACCGAGCTTCGACCATCATGTCAATTTCTCCTGCCGAGGGCAAAGACCTCAAAATCTCGCCTGCAGAACCATTCGCAGACGATGTTGCGGTTTCCCAGTCCGAGAAGTACCAGTCCGGTGAAGATAGCTTTGAGATCTTCAAGAAAGGAGAGGGTCAGGTGGACTTTCGCACTGTCGGATGGCTTCAGGCCGCTGTCATCTTTCTCAAGGGTATGCATATCTGCTTTGACAGCGTTGCATTTGCCGTGACTAAACCCCTATAGTGATCTTTGCCACCGGCATCCTCTCCATTCCGTCGGTCATGTATGACCTGGGTGCGTTTCCAGGAGCCGTCAACCTCGTAGGCTGGTGCGTCCTCAACGCCTATGGCGCTATTGTCCTGGGCAACTTCCGAAACTCCTATCCCGGCTGCCATTCGATCGTGGACATGGTGCATCTAGCTGGAGGCCGTTGGGGCCCGCTCATGCGAGAGATCGTAGGCGTGATGTTCATCCTGGCCTATGTGATCACTGCCTCCTCCGGCATCATCGGCGTCTCAGCTGCTTTCAATGCCCTGTCCCGACATGCAATGTGCACCGTGTACTGGTCTCTCATCTCCACGGCCATCGTTGCCCTCTTCGCCAGTGTCCGCAAGTTCGCCCATGTCGGCTGGCTCACCTGGGTTGGGTTCTTCAGCGTCTTCGCTGCCGTGTTCATCATCGTGTACGTTTATCCCCCTACGGCCTCCACGACAGACAAAACTGACGAGTTCTCACGGCAGCATCGGCGTCACAACCCGCGATCGCCCCGCCGCAGCCCCCAAACCGGCCCCTTCGACCTCGGCTTCCGCGCCATCGGCCATCCCACCTTCGCCGCAGGCATCACCGCCTCCACAACAATCTTCTGCTCCAGCGCCGCAACCTCCGCCTTTCTGCCCGTCATCTCGGAGATGCGCAAGCCCAGAGACTACCCCAAAGCCGTGTACCTGAGTATGAGCTTCGTGACAACCTCCTACCTCGCCTTCAGCCTGGTCATCTACGCCTGGTGCGGCAAGTGGATCGCCTCGCCCTCGCTCGGCAGCGCAGGCGAGACCGTCAAGCGCGTCGCATACGGCATCGCCCTCCCCGGCCTCGTCGTCAGCGGCGCGCTGTACGTGCACGTCGGGGCCAAGTATCTCTTCGTGCGGATCCTGCGCCACTCGCGGCATCTCCAGGCCAACACCCTCGTCCACTGGGGGACTTGGCTGGGTTGTACTATCACCCTATCCGCCATCTCATTCATCCTGGCCAGCGCCATCCCCATCTTCACGTATGTGCTTGCCTTGGTAGGGAGTCTCTGCTATTCGCCGCTGGCGATCTGCTTGCCCGGGTGGCTGTGGATTTATAGTCACCAGCACTACCGGCGGGGGAGCGTGGGCCGGCTCGTCATCTACGGTCTGCATGTGGGTATGATTCTACTGGGGATCTTTATGACTATCGGAGGTACATATGGGGTAGTGGTGCAGATTATGGATGCTTACCATAACGGACGGATTGACCAGGCGTTCTCGTGCGCGGACAATAGCGGTACAGGCTCGTAGTTCTCATTGTATTCTGCTTTTTCTGGAGTATTTTGGGATATCCGTTGCCCGGTTATATGTTTTATGATTTTATCTCTCTCATCTCCTAGACTGCAATCAACCCCCCATACATAATACAGAGAAGAAATGTAATCAATCACGCTGTCACTTAACACCTCACCTCGAAACTGCGAATCTCAGCCTTCTTCCCCTCAACCTTGGGAGCCTGGCATTTCCTCGGACTATCCGGCGCAATAGTGCCAATCGACCTTTTACACTTCGCATCGCTGAACAGTACCACCTCGCAAGGCGGTTGACGCATCTCATTGATGTAGCCCAACGCACCGCCGTTCAAGATCTCATTCTCGCATTTCAGCGAGCCAGAGCCCGAGTAGACGGTATCTGCTCCTGAGCAACGGGTGTTCTGATAGAGATGTAGGCGCCATCTAACAGGGTGGTTTGCAGGTGCGGATGCTGGTGATGAACCTGCTGTGTTTATGAGTAATGCCAGGCCGAGAGCGCCAAGCAGGAGGTTTTGAGTGTTGAGAAACATGTTGTCTTCTAATGTGAATAAGAATGGGACACTTAAAGCGATATCAAACAGCACAGCCCTGAAGAGGTTGGATCAGGCCGCTCAAGTCCATGTTCTGATGGCTTACCTCCAGCCAAATGGCGGGACCTGTTAGTAGTATTGGGGCAAACACGAGAAAGAGAGGATTGTCCTGTCGTGTACAACGGTTAAGCCCTTCTACAAAGGAAGTGAAGGAGTAAGTAAAAAGGATCATGAAATTTCATTGTCATTATGAAAATATCAGGCTAGGATATCTCGCTCGGACGTATAAGAAAGAGGGGTCGACGGTGTGATGTCAATTTCATCATGAAAGAATCACTTTCGGCGTAATGGCATTATTTTGAGTTGTCCCGGTCCTGCGGTTGGATAACTGTTTTTTGAGGGTGGTTGACAATCTCCTTGTTCCATGGATCCGTCTTCTGCATTACCTAGTCATTTCGCCGGTTAGACAGAATGAGTGACTTGAGATTGCGCAACCGAGCAGCCTTAAATTAGATTTGGCCCGAATCACTGAGAAATTCTGAAAACTCCCGCTCAAGAGCACCCGGATCAAATGGGGTAGATGGATCAAACGGCGCTGGGTCGGCTGGGTTGTGGACATTGAGATAGTCAAGGACCTCGGAATATCTATGAAGATTTCCGCACATTAATCAAAAGTGTCAATGTAAACGGAACCCAAATACTGACATCATAATCTTCCAAGTCTCCTTTGGGAAGTCTGCACTGTCAAATGACCAATCGAAGGGCCCTGAAGCTACAGGCTCGTCGGTAGGATCATGATACGGAGCCAGGTAGGGATGTCTCAGAGCGTCTTGGGCGGAGATTCTCGTGTCGGGATCAATAACCAGCATCTTCTTGAGAAGGTCAATGGCTATAGAGGGGTGTGTTATTATCTGTGTCCGGCCATTTCTTTTATCTTCCGAAGAGGGTGTTTACCATCGAAATCAGTATCTTTCGGGACGACAGTCGATAAGTCTCGAGGCTCTCGTGATGGCAAAGATCTCACAAAGTTCACGGTCTGGATGTCACAATCAGTGGGGTGACGAATCTGATCAGTGAGTCAAGTGCACTTACGTTCTTACTGGTGATCTTCTCAATCACCGCATCAGGAGGATTCCCAAGGATGTTTGTGATGAGGTGGAACTGGTGAACGTGGTCCTTCCCAGGAAAAAGCGGCTTACCCCGTAGCATCTCAGCAAGGATACAGCCCGCACTCCAAACGTCCACTTGAACTCCGTATCTCTGCCAGGTTAGCATGATTTCCGGGGCGCGGTAGTATCTGGTTGCAACATAGCCGGTCATCTGGGGCTCCTGCAGCCGGGCGAGACCGAAATCGCATATCTTCAAATCGCAATTTTCGTTGATGAGAATGTTGGTTGGTTTCAGGTCACGGTGAATCACATTAGCGGAATGGATGTATTTCAGGCCTCGCTATTTGACAGTCAGCAAGGCACGTTGGTGTCTTCCTCAGCTTTGATGTTCATACTAAGATCTGGTAGATGAAGTATTGAGAGAATTTGCTGTCAAGAGGTTTGATGCTCAAAAGGCGTCCGAGGTCAGTCCCTAGAAGTTCTGTAGCTATGTAGCTAACCTGATATCAGTATACCAGCAAAAGGCATCAAAAAACAAAGAAGGCGAAGATGCCACGAGAATAGTTGCCTACATGTCCTCCAAAGGAGATATGAAAATATCGCGCAGGCAAATGAGCTAGAGTTCAGGGTCAATTTTCCCTCTCAGCAACAGGATCAGGATGCCATACATTCTCGTGTCGAAGATACTTCAACAACCTGATTTCCCGATATGTACGCTTAGCCAGAGACGAGCTGTCAAAAGGCTTCATGATCTTCTTCAATGCAACTGGCTGCTGGGTTATCTGATCGAACGCCGAGCTAGTGGTGTACGCCTTATTAGTAACGAGACGCAGTTAGAAGCCAGTAAGCAGCGGTAATGCCACCGCAGTAAGTACATACCAGACGAGGCCAAAAGACCCCATACCAATGGGCTGCGGGTTCACATATCTAATCACAGTAGTTAGCTGGACGAACTTGTCCTTCTCGGCGATTGTTGGTCCAAGACCAAGCGCAACGAGCGGAAAACAAACATGCCTCGTAGTGTATTCGAATTTCGTACCCAAGATCTCAGCACGGACAAACTCAGCCATGTGGATAGGGCCGAGCGGTCAGGTATTGTGACCTCTGTGACAATGGAAATCCGAAGCGAGTAATGATAGTACGAATTTCATAATCTGATCGGAGGGAAGAGGCGGCAGGGAACCAGGTAATCAGATGTCCAAAGAGGGGGTGTGGATGGTGCAGGTGTCCGAGTGACTATGTGGCTTGTTTACGGGATCGAGCCAGCCAGAAGATTCAGGAAAAGTACCTGAGAGGGCTGGGAGTCCGTAGTATGATTCTAGGAGGTACTAGCAGTAGTAAACGAAGTGACACAAACACATCCATGCTTGAGGAAAGTTCCGGAAACGCAACCGAGCTAGTGACGATTAAGAAAGGGACAGGTGAGATTCTCGACTGTTCGATCCAGACCATTATACGGAGTAGACTAGACAGATAGATGGGGAGTGAATAATAATAGGTACCTAGACAAGGGTAAGGGCCGTAAGGTAGGTAGGTAAGTGGAGGCTGACGGACGATGGGGATAGCCTAGGCGTTGGATTTCAATTGGTGGGCTGAGATGCCAGGCATAAAAGTGAGCTGAGAAAATGAAAGGGGCACAAAAACATGGAAGGCAATAAGTAGGTGGGCCTAAGCAGTACGTAGTAGTAAGTACCCAGCAAGTACTGGCTGGTATCTGAACCAGAACAACAAACAACAGTAAAACAGCACTATTCCCCAAACTGACTGCAGGATGACCAGCGGACGGGGGGATATATCATATCAACGGCACACGAATATCAGGAGTAAATCATTTGATCTGTTTACCCTCGGGTAGATAATATCGATTAGATAGATACAGCACAGCTTCCAGTTCCATGATGAGTTCCTTTCCATAGAGTGGGTCAGAACCTTAAGGCTACCGTGGATTCCATCTCCAAGATTTAGGTTCCCTGCAAGTATCTATTACCTTTTACAGAAATTGAGCACCTGTGCAGCTGTTCTACTTTGCTTATTATTGTTGTGGGTTGTGGGTAGGGACGGTGGTTACGTCTCCTCAAGTCCAGCCCTAAAGTATCCAGACCACCAAGGATGGTCCTTACTTCCTCTGCTCCTGAGCCCTATAAGCCTTCTCTCACAACAATCTGAGGGGATCACAGACGCCTTGGCAGGGAAAAAGAACACTCGAAATCTGCGATGCTCCATATGATATTGCTGAAACTAAGCCTAGGCTGGATCTGCTCCATACTTCTTCCTTCTCCTCTATCCCAGCTAACTATCGTGCAACCCACGAAAATAGGTTCCTTTGCACTGTTGACTTCGACAGATCAGTCGTCCAAAAGCGTCCCCTCTGGCACGGCCTTCGGTATACCGGCCTTTTTAGCAGAGAAGACTGCAGAGGCCTTCTTCTTTCCTTTCTTATGACGCTTTGAGCTGGAATCGCTGGTCAGAATAACATTCTGGTTTTCTCTCTGCATCGTGGCCAAGCTTCGGGGGTTTGCTTTTCTGAGCAAGTGGATGTCTTGCTGCTTAGCTCCCCATTGCGCAAATTCTTGGTAGCCTCTGATTGCCTGTTTCTTTAGTGCCTCCTCCGTCGAAACCTTCGGTCGATCGTCAATCGCGGACCCTGCCACATTTGCCGGTTCCGCTTCTGATAAAACTGATGAACTCAACTCGCACTTGCAGAAACAGTCATGATTTTCTGAACAGGGCTTGTCGCAGACATGACCACAAAGCATTCGGAGGTTGCAACGCTGTTCGCACTGGACCAGATCATGTGAGAAGCTTGAAAGACACTGCGTCAGTGGGAGCTGCTCAACGCGAAAACCGTCTGATGGCTCACCTGTGGCATTGAAGGGCACACTTATGTCCACAATCCAGTGGCTCCTCGCAGGGTTGTCGGCACCCACCATTCGTTTTCACCCAGTCCGCAGGCTCTTCAAACACCCCGAGTCAGCATAAATTCTTGAGACCGTTATCGTATGAACAGAGAGACCAACCTTGGTTGAGAGTAGTGCTGCCGTGCTTCTGGCATGTCAAAGGTAGTTGGAATTCAATGCTTCGGCAAGGGCGCTCGTTGGCCATGATGGTGATCACTTTCCGCCAAAGCTCATCGGCAGAGTAAAGGAGCTTTGCATTCCCGAAGATATAAAACCCATTCCTTGCTCTGGACAGTGCTACGCAGACTCTGTTCTGCACTGACAAAAACCCGATGCCCTTTGCGTTTGAGCTTCTCACCAAGGAGAGAATGACAATGTCATTCTCTTCTCCCTGGTATGAATCGACTGTCACGACCTTGACATACTGACCATGGAGGTACGAATGATTCCTCATAAGCTTCAATATTTTCTTCCTCTGGCCATTGTAGAACGTCAAAACGGTTATGTTGTCGACCGAAACGCCGTTGAGCACAAGGTAAACAAAGAATCCCACGATCATTTCCGCCTCCATCACATTGTATTTGGACGCCAGGCTGTCACTGCTTTCTGGCCAGCTATGCGAGAAGAAGAAAGATCGGACGTCGGCCATTCCTGGTACTTTTGGACGGCGGAGGACACTCTGATGATCTCGCAGTTCCCCGTAGATAGGTTCCAACAGGCGACGAATTTCCGGCACCATACGCCTTTGGCGCCTCAGAGTAACGTACCCAATTCCATTCTTCACAAGCCGTTCGAACATGGACACATCCAGATGGAAAGGCTCGCCTTCAAGGTCTTGCATTGCGCAGTGGCCCTTGAGCTGTTGGTGGTCGCCCACGAGTATCATGTGTTGGACCGAGTCGAGACAGGCAACGGCTATCGGGGCCTCAATGACCTCGGCTGCTTCTTCGATCAGGATGGTCTTTGGTTTCACACTGGAAATCAGGGCCCTGTATTTGCTCAAGCCTGTTGCAGTCATACCAATGATCTTGGCGTTCCGGAGAATGAGGTGGTCTCTCTCCCACTTTCCAATCCGAAGATCTTCGCAATTCCTTGTGTAGGCAGCGACG